GGTGTGTCTGTGCTTCTTTTTCACTCATCATGTTCTTCCTCGCACCAGGGCTTCATCACCCAAATCAGTCTCTTTCTCTCTTTCCGCGCACCTGCTCAGAATGGGCCCTCGGCGCCCTGACCCCGTGACCTTTACAGTTATTTCTGTTCATTTTCCACCTGCCTCCTCCTCTGCTGTCAGTCAAGCTACACACCTGATCAGCCTACCTGTATTCACTCCACTTACTGATTCTGTTCTTTCATAGATACAAATGCTAAAACACATATACACACACCATGTCTTTGAAACGGTAACAGGATAACAGGAGAAGACAAAAATGTGCTTAACTTTAAATGTAAATGTTTAAAAGTCATTTTGGACCATTTCTTTCTTTCTCACACAGTATAAAGAAAGAAGATGCTGGTTTTATGGTTTCAGCTGTTATATATAACAATTAAATTAATTACAAGGTTCTTATACGACAACAACATACTGGTTCTTTGAAAGATAGACAGGCAAATAGAATGACCGATACATAGACAGAAGGACAAATAGATAAATAAATACATAGACTGCCAATTAAAGACTGACAAAGAGAAGGACAGACACACATTTAGAGAGATAGACAAATAGATAGATAGACAGACAGATAGATAGATATATAGATACATGGATAGACAGACATACAAAGAGCGAGAGATAGACCGATAGAAGGACAAATAGACAGACTGCCAAACAGACAAACTGACAGATAGAAGGACAGACAGACAGTATAATATCTTTTGTTGTACTGTAAGTGTACAGATGTTACGCTCTTTTTTGGAATTGTTTTAAATGTTCTGCAAAAAATATCTCACCAAAACATAAACAACTGAGAAGAATAACAGAACTATTACATTGAATTTAAAAAGTGCTGTGTTGATTTTATTTTAAAACTGTAAATCATTAACATATGATTCAAATATATTCAACACAATAAAGCTTTTTAGTTCATTTACTTCATGTAATAACCATATTAGTACAAAATATTATATGTAATGTTTTAATGATGTATACATTTAAATAAAGTTAATTCAATACATTCCTTTTCATTTCTTTTTTTAAGTGCACCTACGAAGCATCAAAATACACTGAAAACAATGGACAGGATAAAATACATTACATCAATATGATGTACTATATTTTATTCATATGCATCCAACTGACACATTTGAATCACATTAATATTTGTTCACAAAGTGTTACCAAAATAAAGTTAATATATAAATAATTTTAAAAAAGGTAAATATTCATGTTTCTATATTCAAGTGTTACGCTATCTGACTCATCGCATCCAGCATGACTCCATCTGGTGTAATTAATGCGAAGTCTTGTGGGCACCTTAAGGGCTCTGCCTAAAGAGGGTGAAGGGGATCTTGGAGGACTGATGGAGTCGTGAGTTCTCTCTCTTCACCTTATTACAGTCCGAGCGCACGCGAAGCGAAAAGGTGAAGAGGTAATACGTTAGCCGTGATGTGTTCAATAAATGGCCTTGGACCGGGCAGCGTTGGTGGATATTTTCTGAGTAATCTCAGAAAAACAAAAACCCGAGTGGTCCCACCAGGACCCTCGCTGTCTGACATGCCTGTAATACATGTCTTCCGCTCCACTGCAAGTGTTGAGGATATTAGGGTGGGCACTCAGGGACCTCTGACAACCTCCCCCCAGCGAAAACAGTCAAGTTGAAGGACTAAATCAATGTGAGGGATGCTGCAGACATATTGAGCAAATAATTTCTGGCTCATTCAGCTTTCACATGAGAGGAAAAAAATAAAACAATTCGCCTGTGTAGATTTTTGGTTTAAAAACAGATCATATGTGAATATGTAGTGGACAATATTTCACCAGAATGTGTTATTTGGGTTCAAAAACCTCTGTAGACGTCTCTCACATCTAATCCTTCACTAAATGGCAATTTAAATTGAAAATATTTTTGAGAGTGTCTAGTATATCGTGAAGAAAAATTTAACACTGCAGATTTACACTCTGAATATCAGAAAATAGCAACACATGAAGGCTTAAGCCTGTGAATAGGTGCTGCATTTGTTATGTGGATTATAGAGAAATGTGATATCTTAAACTGGTATTTATCTTTTTGAAGTAGGAAATTGTCATGAAATTGCTTTGTTAGTAAATATGTTGTTAAAGATGTAAAGAAGAACATTCTTCATGGTGTACCACAGGGCTCTATACTGGGGTCCCTTCTATTTGTCCCGTATTTAGATATTTCTGAAAACCTTCAAAATAGAATGATAGGTGATCTGACAATAACAAAATAAACTTTGTGTTTTTATCTTTCTAAGAATCAAATTTCTAGTAGAAATTGTCATAAAAGGGTTTTAAAGAAAATGTTGCAAAAGATACAACATTCTTTATGGCATACCACAGGGCTATATAATGGGGCCCCTTCTCTTTGTCCTGTTTGCTGACCTTGGGTAGAATTAGCATTATAGAAGCATTGAGTCAACCTCCATAGTTGTTTTTCACATAATGCTAAATACTTTCATTATTGAATGATAAGTGGCCTGACTGAAAAAATAGAAGCAGACATTAAGTACATGGTTATTTTTATGTACGTAGCAAGTTTTAGAATGCCAAAAAGTGTCCAAACTCACCTGATTTAATTAAGAGAGTACACTAAATCAGCTGGTAAGCTCTTTCTAATTTTCTAAATCAAATGGTAATTAAGAAGTGAAGATAAGATTCTCATTATTGACACAGAAGAGACAAAAGTATTGAGCTTTAGGTTTTAAGCCTTAAGTTTTGAATTGAGTTATTATTCCTGACTGAGTTGACATTTAAAATCACACTTTGATAATGTCACCAAAACTGCATTGTCTCACTGTGGAAACACATTTAGTTTTTTCTTCCTGTTTCAAGATGCTAAGGTGTCTTTGTTTTATTTCTCACTAAGGAAGCACTATTTACTGACTCATCTAAAAGACTTCAGACAGAGTAATGCATATAGGGAGTCTATGTCATCAATCACTGAATTGTCTGCTCCCCTTAGAACTGTTTAACTTATGTTAAACACATGAAAATTAGAGAAGCAACCTTTTGTATTTACCAAAGATATGGACCTTTCAGCCGTTTAAAGGGGAATTGCATAAATTTTCCAAAACCTTTTGGATCGTTCAGTCAATAAGACGTAACCAATATCATTCAGAGTGGTTTAGTGTGAAATGCTCTGTTCTAGAGAAACTTACAGAGTCAGAATTGTTCACAGTGGAGGTGAAAGGAACCAGACATCCACCTCTGATGGAGGGGCATGAAATGATTATGAACACACTTCCTGATGCCTGAAACAAACGATAGGTTTGAAAAGGTTTTGGATTAAAACGAAATTTCTTAAAACACATCAGTGGTGGAGAGCTACATGTAGGGCATTACAAGGCAAAATAGTCGCCAAAGAAAACTTTTTTTTCCACTATTTTAAAAACTTAGAAGATTGTGTAGGTTCCCTGGTGGTTTTGGATAGTAAAAAAAATGGCTGTTTGTAGACATTGCAACCCCTGGTTCCTATCACCACCACTGTAAAGAACTGAGTCAGTCAGTTTCTCTACAATGAACCATTTCACATCAAACCACTCTGAATGACTCTGTTTACATGTCAATGTTTCAATTATGCAGAAATTCTGAAAAATTCCCCATCAATATTCAAGCCCTTCTCTTACCTGGTTTACAAGTCAGTTTAATCTCTTTCAGTCTTTGATTTCATGTTGGTCATTTTACTGTTCCTTTTGTCCCTATAAAACTAATGCATCTATAAATTTTGCTAAATGTTGTTTTTTGCTTTTAGGCCAGTCTTATTCATAAACCTTTACTGCTCTTATTATTTGTGTCCATGTATTTTCATTATACTTTTTCTTCCTCTCATAAATCACTCTGAACTGCATTTTAACATTTGTTATTATTGTTGTACATTTATTTGCTCAAATTTCATCTGTTGGAGCTCCCATATATCAAAATGTGTGAAGATTGTAGTATATTTACATATATGTAAACACTGAAAACTGACACTATTACACAAGTTTCATCAACATATGTGCATATATTGCACATATATGTACATATATTTTTCTTCCATATGGGCTGTATGTTGGGGAAACCCATTCGCACCACTTAAGATTTTAAAAATCCAGAACTAGTATTATATATAGAACTACTAAGTATTTTTTCATCATTAAGTGAATTGCTCTGCCATTATTTTCTAATACTAAGTCATTACATTGAAATATTATTTCATTATTTTGAGATACTAAGTCAAAATACTATCTCATTATTTTGAAATTTTATCTCATTATTTTGAAATCTCATTATTTTGGGACACTAAGTCATTATTTTGAATTACTAAGTTATTATTTTAAAATATTATCTTATTATTTTGAGATACTAAGTCATTATTTGGAAAAACTATTATTTTAAAAGACTCATTATTTTGAGATAATAAGCTATTATTTTGTCATACTAAGTCAATATTTTGAGATACTACCTCATTAATTTGAGATGCTTTCTCAGTATTTTGATTGTCATTACATTGTCATTATTTTGAGACTTAGTATTTCAAAATAATGACTTAGTACCACAAAATAATGGCACAGCAATTCACATAATAATGAAAAAATAATAATTAGGTGCTGGATTTTTTTATTTTACGTGGCAGTAAGGTTTCCATAGTATGTAGCCTCCTGTTTATGTAAAAAAAAAATAATAATAATAATAAGCATGAATAAACAGTAACCAAATGTCCTTATTTAGAGATGATAGCCCATATTATTATGCATAATAGTTAATTAACTCTATTTAAATATACTTAATATTATCCAAACTATTAATATAGGTCTGGTAAAAGTGCTAAGACTGATTTTAAAGACTGCATTGAATCGTTTGTTGTAATTTAGAATATAAATTCATTTGAAATAACTGTGCATAATTGTAATATTAGTGGTTGATGTGCTCCTCCACACTGCAACAGGCAACAAAGGAGGAGGAGAGGAAAGAGAAAACATCAGCAAGCCAACAAGAAAGGAAGAAACGAGTGGAGTTTTTTTTTTAGAGAGAAACACAGCAAGTTAAACGAATACTTCACGCAAACGATGAGGGCGAGAAATGCAGCGGCTCTTCCTTCGAGAAGAAACAGATCAGTTTATCGTCCGAGTATTTAAGATGTTTCCGTAATTAGCTGATGTGAAACAAATGCATGTTGGCAAACCTGGCTAAGTTAGCCTGCTAGCTAGCATTTTAGCCTTTTGGGATTTTTTACGCCGGCAGTTTTGTCTGTCTGCGTTGTTTAAGTTCCTGAATTTGTAAAGGATTCGTTCTGTTTGTGGTGAATCTCTCGTACAACAGGATATTCTTTTAAAAAGAGGCTGTCGAACCACTGAAGTAAGTATGGGTTTGCTAACTGGCGCTAGCTGTCTTAGCTTGCTAGCTAGCCATATGTATGGCTTTGGCCATATTATCTACGAAAGTTGATTTTGCTTCGTTACTGTTTTTACGTGTGCATCATATAAACGAGTTATATCCGTCTGCCTTTTGTTTTGCGAGAGAAATGATAACAGCAAGGCAGCCACAAAGACAAAATCTGATCTCAGGCCTGCTTCTTTCTAGCTAACTAGTTAGGTTAGCTAACGTTAGTGTGCTTAGCTAGGCCAGCAGTTTGTTCATATTTACGGAAATAATATAATGTCTTATTAAAACAGATATGTCCATCAAATTCCTTGGTTTTACATTATGTGAAGGATTAACTGACATTAGCCAAGTGTTTATTGGCAATTTTGTGTTATTAACTTTAGCAAGAGCTATCGTCAGATTGGCTAGCTTAGCTAGCTACCATCTCACAAAGCTTATGCCTATGAAAGGCCCAAATAGTTTTAATATTTGAATGCAGGCACTTTAGTTGGAAAAGATAACTAAAGTACACTTGGAAAACGTGTATAATATACAGCCTCAATATATTAAATGTATAAAAGTCTACGAAAAGCTGGACTGTGCAGTCTCTTAGGAAAGCCTTCTTTAAACCTTAAATGAAACGAATTAGACTGTCAGCAAGCCATTAAAAGCCATGATATTTTTAATCTTACAGTCAACATTTAAAGCAGGTTCTTTGCCATATTAGAACTTTCTGCTGAATTTATTCCTGTTATAGTTAATCAAGTTAATCATTGTTTTCAAGTACAAAGAACTCCATAGGTTAGGCTATGTCAAGGGAGGTTAACCTACAGTCCTGTTAATATTCTGCCTAATTTCCCTCACCTGGTTCAACTCATGAGTGTGTTTTGTCTCCTCCACAGTTGACAAGGGCTGTTGTGTTGTGATTGGCAGCTCCCAGTCACATGGAAGGTACTTTTGGTTAGTATCTGCTGGCTCTCACCTCCCATGCCCACCCCTGGGAGTGAACATCAGGATGAAGAAGATCAGCCTTAAGACTTTCAGAAAACCGTTCAACATAAAGGGCAAAGAAGATGGAGATTTCATGATGCTCCAGAAACCATCGCTGGCCTCCGAGTTCACAAAAGACGACTCGCTCTTCGGAGGTTGCTACACCAAGGAGCTGGCCTGTGACCTCCATGGAGATGATGCAAGGGGTCACAAAAACAGGTCCAAGAGCGAGAGCCTTATGGGCACCCTTAAAAAGGAGGCTTTCTACTAAGCAGAAAACGAAAGGTAAAGGAGGGTCAACCTCAGTGGGCTCTGGAGATGATGATGACACTTTTTCTTCTTCTTCAGTTCCCATAAGCTTTAATGAAGTCAAAGCTCAGCGGCCCTTAAGATCCTCCTCCCTCCGCAGCCATCACTATAGCCCTTCTCCGTGGCCTATTAGGTCTGTCGACCCTGAGGAAGCCTGCATAAAGATGGAGGTGAAGGTAAAAGCCATGGTTCATACTCCTAGCCCCAGCCCCTCTCTGAATGGCATCAGAAAGGAGTTCCATGACATCCAGATAGAGGGACTTTTCGATGATCAGAAGAACTTGGAGTCTCAGAATGGTGACTTCGAAGAACATGTGCCTGTTGTTATTGGACTTGCACCTCAGGATTACATCCAGTACACAATGCCTTTAGATGACGGAATGTACCCTGATTCTTCTCACTCATTCTGCTTGGACGGTTCCTCGCCCATGGAGGTGATGGAACAAGTCGATGCTGACTCGCTGAATGTGGACCAGGGCCAGGACGACCATGACCTCCTGTCGTCAGATATGCTCATGGACCAGTCTGTGAGCGGACTTCTCCTTGGCAACCCAGGAATAGTCCTTCAAAGTTCTAGAGCTGATGCTCCTTCACTTTCCCCATCCCTTTCTCCTCTTTCCAGCAGTGAAATTCCAAGAACCTATTCGGGCTTTGGCGGTGCGGATTCACACGTTGCAGAAAGGGTGAGACATCATCTTAATTTTGATCCAAATTCCGCTCCTGGTGTTAGCAGGGTGTACGATTCAGTCCAAAGCAGTGGACCCATGGTTGTGACGAGCCTTACAGCGGAGCTGAAGAAACTGGCCAAGCAGGGTTGGTACTGGGGACCTATAACCCGATGGGAAGCTGAAGACAAGCTTCTCGACCTTCCGGATGGTTCCTTTCTGGTTCGCGACAGCTCAGATGATCGCTATCTCCTCAGTCTGAGCTTTCGATCACAGGGCAAGACACTCCACACTCGAATTGAACATTCAAACGGCAGGTTCAGTTTTTATGAGCAGCCTGACGTAGAAGGTCACACATCCATAGTGGACCTCATCGAGCACTCCATAAAAGACTCGGAAAACGGTGCATTTTGTTATTCCAGATCGCGCCTACCAGGGTCAGCCACGTACCCGGTCCGACTGACCAATCCTGTCTCCCGGTTCATGCAAGTGCGCTCGCTGCAGTACTTGTGCCGATTCGTCATCCGACAGTACACCCGCATAGATCTGATTCAGAAACTGCCTTTACCAAACAAAATGAAAGATTACTTGCAGGAAAAGCACTACTGAATTGGGAGACAGTAGTAACTTGCACTTTGGGTTAAAGTGATGAGTCGTTAAAATGGTTTACAAGACATTTGTGGATTTTTTATTTTTTTTTGATTGCTTGGTTTTATTTGCTTCGTTTGTGTCAGAAGCATCGGTTTGTTTCGTTTTCATTATGGATTCAGACAATTTGTTGTTGCTCAGATTCCGTATCGGATGTTTGCGTGTGATTTCAAAGGTACACTCTGGTTTTTGGATCAAAAGGGCACTGCCGATATCTTGGCAAGTGACAACATCTTACATCTTGTCAATATATACAATATTTTCCATGTTTGAATTGTTGCAAGGGTGTTGAAGTTCTTAGTTTTTTTTTTTCCTTTGAGAAATTGTCCATTGGACAATTCCATTGGCAGATACTTTTTGCAAGTAAAACAAGACCTTTGAAACAGGTGAAATATGACCTCAGCCTCAAAATGAGAAATATTAGATATATTGACTAGATTTAAGATGATTTTACTTGCCAAGGTATCATTTTATGCGGTGGGGAACCTGCCACATCAGTTAAAAAAAAACAAAAAAACAGCAACCTAAACACTTTTACACAAATAGATTAGTTTATGCTGTCATTATAAACAGTGGCATTAGTCATATGGTCAAGGCTGATGTTCACAAAAAAGCTCTGACTGATCAGAGTGTGGCTTTAACAGTAGTTTCGGATCAAAATATTTAACATGCTTGGGATGCTGAAGATTTTAATTTCCATTAATATCACACAATTTCCTACAGATGTGCTAATACAAACATCAGTGGCAAAAGGATTGGTTCCTAAACCAACATTGAGGCGTTATTCCATACATAATTAAATTACGCTGACTGAATCTTTATATTTTGAAGTATTACGTATTTTTATACTTTTTTTGGTATTGTATACTATTATGTGAGATGATGTCAGCCAACTCTGGCCTTTTTTGATAGGAAAGTTTCCTCTTTAGCTGAACTCGGTACTGTTGGTTAGGCCAAGCTTTAGCGGATTCGTTAAATTGGGGTTGACACGTACATTTCAGATGATTACTTGTGAAATTATTAGGCGTTTAAATGTGAAACGTGACTGATTTAGCTAATAAATAAGGTGCTTCCCATGAAGTTCTCATTATAGATACTTGATAAGTTTACTGTTATCAGTACTATGGCTGTGACTGTCGGTTATATAAGTTATATTGTTTTTTTTAAACAAGGGCAAATGATAAAAATGGACTTAGTTGGATAATAACAAATCATTCAGAGCCGTTTAAAATATTCCAGACTATGCTGTTGGGAAAAATAGCCTTAAAAACACCTAATTACATATATACACCTAATTAAGTAATGGTGACAGCCCTGCTCAGTACATATCATGCGTATGGAGCCCTCTTACTTCTGCCCGAATAGCTTGTAGCTGCTCTTCTGTGACATAGTGAGTTTTACTGCGGATAACCTTCAGCTCTCCTTTTCTTTACTTGTATGTTGTCGTCCTGTCGTTATCCCAAGCTATGAAGCCTCCTAAATGTGCTGCTCCTTCTGTAAGCCAAGAACAGATGCTAGTCATTCCCTTTTCATCATAAAAAGGTGAGTTCTTCGCTCCAGACGACTTTCAAGACTAGCAATAATAAAAGTGATATTAAATCTTCAACGGCAGCTACGCATGAGCTGATATCTTCTCCCCTGAAGTGAACGCAAGCCCTCAAAAGTAGTTAGATGTGAATTTAGACTTTAATGCGGTTTCTTCTGATTTATTTGAGCGTTAACAAGACCGGACTGACCTTCCAGGCTGATGCTCAGGTTCTTTGATTATTGCATCCATTACATTTTCCAGATCTTTGCAACAACAAATGTAAGTTTTAACACTGCTGCGTAAGAAAGCTGATGTATTCTGTTTGTTTTGGTATGTTTATAATCACATATCGAAACGCAGAATCTTTTAAAGGTTCCAAAAAAATGCCAAGGATTTCACAGTGGAAAAAGGGAACAGTTGAAGAATGCTGGCTTTTTATTTTAAACATTGTTTGTATATGTGATGTTTGTGCTTTAAACAGTATTTCATTGAATTATTTTAATCTCCTGTTGATCAATATTGTCTTTTTTTGACACGCAAACATATCAACGTAATATGTTAGAGAGTACAAAGTGGTACTCTCTTAATAAGGCTTGTAGCGCTGGAGCGGGTGCTTGGTTGTCTACCCTTAAACTGCAAAAATGATATCTTGGCAAGGGAAATCTAGTCAAAATATGTAATATTTCTCATTTAGAAATTCTTATGCAGAAATTAAAATGTTATTTTTTTGTTTTAGGCAATTCCAGTTAATTTACCTTGTTTTCAGAAATAATGCCTGAAACAGACATATCATTTCTCAACACTCTTAAAAAGGGTTCAAGGGTTCAAGTAAACATAAGGGTTCTATATAGCACCAAAAAGGGTTCTTCTATTGTTACAGGCTTCACATCGTAACAATAGAAGAACCCTTTTCAAAAAGTTCTATATAGAACCATAAACACATTTTCTATCAATCTGAAGAACCCTTTCACGGATGCAAAGAACCCCTAAATCACACAGAGGGTTCTTTGAGTGTTCATGGTTCTATATAGAACCATTTTCTTTACTAAAGATCCCTTGAAGAACCATCTTTTTTAAGTGTGTGTATTATTACGATGTCAAGCTTGTAACAATAGAAGAACCCTTTTCAAAAAGGTTCTATAGAACCTTCTACAGCACATTCTCCATCATTCTGAAAAATGCTTTCATGATGCAAAGTACCTTTTAATCATGCAAAGCGTTTACCTTTACTAAAGAACCCTTGAAGAGCCATCTTTTTTAAGTGTGAAGGGGAAATAACTTAAAACAAAATAAAATATCTAGAAATGGGTTAGATATTGTTATAAATTTCTTACAACAATCTCTAAATGACAAATTATAGATCTCAGATATTTTTACTTGCCAAGAAATCATTATTTGCAGTAGAATGAATTGGTTTTGGTTGGCACAATAAGCAGAGAAGTGATTGTAAAATGTGGGTGTTTACAGTGGCGGCCTATAAAAATCCTTATGAGCACAGTTTTTCACTTAATTTGGCTTGTTGAGGGAAGTAGGGCTGCATGATATGAACATAATACAAGTATTGTGATTATAATAATGCATAATTTAATTGTGATACGTCTTGCGATAGATTAAAACATGGTCACATGATTAAAGACTGTGTTCACATTACAAACCCAAGACCTCATTGCTCAGTTCCAATTTTTTGCTAAGATCTGATCTTTTTAACCTGATAGTTCACATTCGTGTGGGTGAGTGACTCAGATCCGTCACTAATGTGAGGCAATCTGTGTCCTGAAACAAGCCGCACGCGCACATACTAATCAATGTGGTGAATGAATCACATGCGTCATGAACAACAAACTAACCAGCAGAGCACACCTTCATCGCGAAGATAATTTGCTCTGAGCAGCTCTCAGCTGTTCATTATTAGAGCGAGACGAAGGAGAAAAAGGCTGAGATTCTTTTGCACTGTTTATTGGCACTTCAGGTTAGGTGCTGCTTCCACATTAACACTGAGTGATGGGGCGCAGTGAAAAACAGCACAGGAATTCTGGGCTGACTGTTCTTATTAAGGTTGCATGGCCACGAAATGTTTATGTATATGAAAGCGGCTCAGATCTGCTATGAAAAGATCAGATTTCTGTGTCCACACAGCTCTGAAAATGTCAGATCTGCGTCACATAAAAGCAAAAAATTGGATTTGTGCTACTTCGGCCTGGTAATGTGAATGTAGGCTAAGATTGTCCTGTCTAAAATAACTGACACTTGTTGTGTTATATGAATACCTTGATTTGTCAAAACACCCATGGAAACTCATCTTGAGCTGTGATTGGTCAGGATGGTGATTGGTTAGAGGGCTCTTTTGCATAATATCAGTATTGCAACGGGCGATATCATGATAACAGTAAACAAAGAACATATTGTGCAGCCCTAAATCTGGGATCAAATATATCATCGCTGTCGAAAATGTTCAGAAGAAGAACACTTTCTAAAAAAGGAATTACATTGATTTTTAAAGATTTCTGCATAATTAAACAGCTTAGATGTAAACAAAGTAATTCTGAGTGGTTTGGTGTGTACGGGAACCCTAAAGGACCATGGATTCACAACTTTTTACTCGGTTTTGCCATGATCATAAGATTTTCATTTGTTTTTTTTCAAGATCTCATGATGTTTATGTCATTATCACGGCAAGTCGAATGTTTTCTGGAGATCTCAAGTTACCTCACTATCATGATGTAATGAGCACACTGCAAAAAATGACATCTTAGCAGGTGAAAATATCTTAAATCTAGTAAGTGTATCTAATATTTCTCATCATGAGATTGTTGTAAGGATATTGTAATATTTATTTATAGACAGTTTTGTTGTAAGTAATTTTATTTTGTAAGAGTATCTTATTCCATTGGCAGATAATTTCATTTGTTTTAAACATTTCATGACACAAACAAAATAATCTTAATTATTTCTCAAAACAAGTGATCTGCCAATAGAATAAGACACTTTCACAAGATAAAATTGCTTAAAACAGGTACAAATGTATAGAAACAGGTTGAATAATCTTGTTCTTACAACAATCTCATAATGAGAAATGTAATTTTTTGTGGTGCATTGTTTTATTGAGAAAACACTTATGTGATAATGCCAGGAACATCTCAAGAAAACAACATTTGTTATGTTGTGGTAATGATATAAAATAAGTTCAGATCTTAAGGAAACAAATAAGAATAATTTATCACAGGAAAAACTGAGTTTAAAAAAAAAAGAACAAATAAAAAAACATGGCCCTTTGGGGCGTAAAATGCTCCACTCTTACTGAGTCAGAATTTTTCACAGTGGTGGTGATAGGAACCAGACGTCCACCTCTAAAAGATCCCTCACAGACAGTTATTACATGAACTGGGTATAAATACACTGCTGTGTCTGAGACATTGTTTTACAAAAGTTTTGAAAATCCATCCTTTTTAAATCCATTCATGGTGGAGGAGTACATGAGACAAAATAGCTCCCAAAAACTACTTTTTAAAAATTGATGACTTTTTCACCATCATCAGCATTACAAAACTCAGAAGGCACGTGTAGGTTCACTGGTTTTGGATAGTAAGTAAAATGGCTATATTTATGTTGTAGACATCACGATCCCTGGTTCCTATCACCACCACTGTAAAGAAATCTGAGTCTTTTTCACATAAGACCACTCTGAATGACTCTGTGTACATCTCAACCTCTGAATTATGCAGAAATTAGGAGAAATCATTGGAACTCCATAACTGTCAATGTAAATTAATGTAATAATACTTTTGGACCTAATGTTTTCAAATGATATAATAAAAAATGAAGATACAAGATTGTGATCTGACAGC